CACTGATAGAGCCAGAGTCCTGGAGCTGAAGGAGCCACGTGGAGATCCACACCAGCACTGAGATGCGTCCACCACCACTCGATCCACAAGACTTTCCACCCACTGGCCTGTGGTCTTCCTGCATTCTGCGTCATTGTATATGGTGTATAAGTCTGAAGAGGAATTTATAGATGGGTATTGGACATATAGGCTAATATCAGACTTATGGACTTGATCTGGACTGGGTTGGGATGTTTTCTTAATGTACAATTACTCTGATATAAAACTCTCTTACACACATATGCGTGTTCCTGGATTTGTTTCTCTAGTCCACCCGGAATAACACATATAGGTTGGCAAAGGATATTCTTCTGTAGGTATTTGTGTGTCCCGGTGTGTAGTGAGCTTACAAGAGGTCATGTTATACAAACTTCTTAACCATAATCTAACACCTTGAGGCATTTGTCACTGAGGTTGAGGGGTTAGGCCCATAGTCTGTCATTGTCATAACATACAATTGTGAGGGTGGAGCAGGGGCAGCCGGAGGTTAGCTCTGCTTTACATGAGGTTGCTGTTGGGTCAGAACCAACCCAACGGCACCTAACAACAATGACAGTCCATAAAGATAATAGTCTTCCCCTTACTCTGGCGGGTAGCAACCGGGGTCTTAGAAGCCTTCATGCGGCCATCGGAGATACAATTATTGGTCTGCTGCTGTGCAGCACAGAGCCGAGCGAAGAAAATGGAAACCTCAAGGAAACAAAGGACTGACGGGTCGCACAAACCACAGCCTGCACGGAGACCTGTGGGACTAGCTGTGTCCGAGAACCACCACCAGCCAGTTGGATTGGGACAGAGGGAGAGAAAAGTGAAGAACATCATTCGAAATCACACACACACACACACACACACACACACACACCTTACTGGTCTTACAGAAGGTAGTGGAATCCCCACAACCACAGGCCTTAGACACCCTTCAAGTCTGGTACTGAACCTCCTCCCAGACACCATTTTTGCGTCAAATGCAGGGCTTTTAAGGAGAACAGTCACCCCTCTGAGAAAGTCAGAGGAGTGCTCCTCCGAACAGGCAAACACATGAGACCAACAGGGCAGCGCTGGACCCAACACCCAAGCTCAGAAGGCAGGAAGGGGCAGGAAGATGGGCGACTAGAAACAGGGACCCCAGGGAGGAAGTGGAGAGAGCGCTGTTTCACCGAAGAACTTGCAACGCGTGTCATGAAACAAAATGTCTATAAATTATGGAATTGGAAATGAGTCTGAGGTGTAAACTTTCAGTCAAATTCTAATAATAAGTTTCAAAAAACCCAAAACCCAAACAAACAAATCTGTGATGTACATCTGCATTGCCTCTGGGAGATAGAACACTTCTTTGTCCCAGCACACAACAAACAAAAACAAGAAAACAAACAAGCCCACTGCTTTCTTTCTTCCTTCTTTTTTTTATGAGATCACTGTGAGATATAGTATATATCTCATAGAAATATGTATATTTCTAACAGTTTTATTGGCCCATAATTTACATATCATACAATTCAAAAGTTCAATCGTTCAATCATATCAAGGAAAATTATACAATCATTCCCACATCCATTTTAGATTTCCCCCCAAAGGTTAAATCGCCTTTGGAATGAGCTGTGCAATCATGATCCGTCTAGTGCTCCATCCCTACTTTACTCCATCCCATCATTACTTACTCCCCAAATCCCCTTTCCCTCCCTATCACCCATCCCCCACCCCGCATCCCCGATCAACCCTTATATCCGTTATCACTCTGCATCCACTCCTCCTGCTTCACAAACTGGGAAGCCCAACAGAACCAATAGAAACACAAAATTGAAATAAGGTGGTAAGGATAACATCATAACAGTATACAGACCACGCCATAAATAGCGAGTAAGAAAGAAAAGACCCCCATCAACACTCACAAGGCCAGGGAATACATTTCTGTCATGGCACAGTAATAGATCCTTGCACCCAGACCAAATTCAGGAAGGTGAACTGGGCAAGTACCGAGTTCGATCCAGCATAATCACGATTACAGTGGTCTCTGCCGGATAGGGAGGCTGTTTGAGACTCTTGCCTGTGTCTAGAGGGGATCTGTCAGGGCTCTGTCGGACCAGATACTCTGCAGGTGGGTTTGAGGTTCTCACGGTCCCCCATAGCCCTCCACAAATTGGGCGTTCATAATTTTAGCTCTGATACTTTTCCCTTCACCATATTCGAATTTTGTAATTGTCATCTTTGGATCACACCAGCTGATGTGCTTCTTCTGTGTGGACTTAGTTGACTCCTTGTTCAGATGACTGCTTGTTTGAATACAAGCCTTTAAGATCCCAGACACTATTCCGATGGACAGCTGGGCACCATCTACTCTTCAGACTTTGCCCTAGCACCCTGATCTTCAGTAATCATTTCATGAAGGTGAGTATCGAGCAGAGCCAAACCCACTGCTTTCTATTCAATTCGGACTCAAGGTAACTCCGTCTAGTGACCTTGTAGGACAGAGTAGAACTGTCCCACAGTGTTGCCAAGGCTGTAAGTCTTAATAGAAGTAGGCTGCCTCCTCTTTATTGCCAACTCTGTGTTCCATTGGATGCTTTAACAAACACTGTGGCACCAGAAGGCTGGCTCAGAGGGAATAATTCCTCAACGTATCTTCTGAAAAAGCCATCCCAAATGGGTTTGCCAAGGTGACTCTGGTGAGGATACTGTTGGCTCATGATGACCGTGTGGGTGTCAGAGTCGAAAGACGCTCCAAAGGTAAGGTGACCAGACTTCCCGCTTTTGGCGGGACAGTCCCAATTTTTCACAATTTGTCCTGCGTCCCGATTTTTGGAAAGAATGCACGGCAAGCTAGGGAACGGCGGGAGAACGGGAAGGGAATATACGGTTTTTAGCTGCCATGTGGCTATTTCGCCAGGATATGAGTTTTATATTATTTTTGTTAATTTTATAATGTTAAACTTTAATAATAACAAGTAATTGTTGAGAACTGATTATCGAGAACTGCTTATCAAAGTTCGCATTGTTGATCCGTTGTTAGAATTTGACCACCATTGTTTGGACTTAATGAACAATGGCATTTTGGGGCATTGGCAACGACGAAAACATTTTGTAACTGTCTCTCAGACGATATACATCGTACTGCTGTGCTATAGTTAAACAAGTGATGTCAACAAATCAGCTATTCAGATAATTTAGGTAAGTAATTTATTTATTTCATAAATTTTCTTGAATTTAGCAGACAGTACTCATATTATTTATATTTTATAGTGGCGGCAAAATGATATAGACCAAATTTTTAATCAAGACCCCCACCCCCACCCCACCCCCATCAATGGTGTCCCGCTTTACCAAGGTTAAAATCTGGTCACCTTAACCAAAGGGCTTTTCGGAAGTAGATCACCACCCCTTCCTCCTCCTGCAGGAGCTCCACTAGAACCCTTTCAGCATCACAGTTACAAGTCAGACTCCTGGATGGATGGTGGTGGCTGAGCAGGAAGTCACAGGCCAAGAGTTGAACCTGTTTCTCCCCAGTGGAAGGCAAGCGTTCCACCCCGGAAACACCAATGCTTTCAAGCTGCAATGTTGAGCTCTGGCAAGGCAGCTCCCAGGTTTGTTCTTCAAACTCAAGGAGCTGCCTTGTGGAAATTGTTCGTTTTGCTGTCCCAGTGACCATGTCCCTGGAGTGCTTTGCTAAGGTGACCTGACTTTATGTCCGTCCGCTATCAGTGTGGCTCAGAGATTTCATCACGGTGTGGCATACAGCCCTTCGGCCTTTGGTGAAGGTGAGTTCTCCCTACCTGTGGGTGGACAGGAAACCTCTCCGGCTCCTAAGCACTTGGCTAGAGCGTGCTTATTAGTGGGTCTTTTACTTTGCTGCTTCCCTGAAAAGGTGCCACCCGCCTACCTGAATCCAAGCTCAATGGATTCTCAATGCTTCATGACTCTCCAGGTAGAGCCATGGCAGGTAGAGCCACGCCGATGAAAGTAGAGTATTTGAGCCCGGAGCCCTGTCCAGTGGAGGCCACAGCCTTTGGAAAATGAACAGACCCGCGCAGCCACTGTGGCCTCCCCTCTGGGCGTGTCTATGTGAATAGGTTGGTTCCCTTTTCTGGGGAAATCGCCAAGTGGATACTACTCACGAAGCCTATCCGAGAGGGCAGCGGTTTGAAATCGGTACAGGGTCACCCAATCCAGGCCCTTACAGGCACTAAAGAGTGGAAATGACCCCGGCTTTCCTTCCAGTTCCCTACATCTACCTTGACCTAGGAGAAAGCGAACCCCAAAGCAGCGGGCTAAAGTGAGGTCTCACTGGGGCAGCCCGTGGGATAGAGCAGACCTGCCCGTGAGGGTTTCTGCGGCTGCAACTCTTTATGGGAGCAGGGTGTCCTCCTCCTCGCGCTGAGCGGCCGGTGGTTTCAAACCACTGACCTGGCCGTTATCAGGCCAGCGCGTAACCCACCACGCGAGGTTCGCGCTGCCGAGGAG